TTGATTGAGTTCTCATACAACAACAGTTTTCATGCTAGCCTGGGCATGGCTCCTTACGAGGCATTGTATGGTAGGAGATGTCGGACTCCTACTTGTTGGGCAGAGGTTGCAGATCGGGAACTGTTCGGACTTGATTTTGTGAAGGATACTACAGAGCAAGTTAAAATTATCATAGAAAAGTTGAAGCAAGCTCAAGATCGGCAGAAGAGCTACTACGATGCCAGGCATAGGCCATTGCAGTTCAATGAAGGTGAACATGTGTTTGTAAGATTATCTCCGGTCACGGGTGTTGGGCGAGCTCTCGGAGTGAGGAAGCTTAGTCCTAGATTTATTGGGCCTTATCAGATTCTTGGTAGGGTAGGGCCCGTTGCCTACTGGCTTGCCTTACCGCCAAACTTAGCCAACCTCCATGATGTTTTCCATGTGTCACAATTACGGAAGTATATTGCGGATCCATCACATGTCGTGCAACCGGATGAGGTGGAAATACGAGAGAACCTCAAGACCCCCGTAGGACCACTCAAGATTTTGGATCATGGCGAGAAGAAGCCTATGAGCAGAGTTATTCCTATGGTCAAGGTGCAATGGGAAGGAAGAACTCCTGAGGAATGCACTTGGGAGCGGGAGGACGAACTTCTCCATATCCCGAGTTCAAGAACAGGTATGTCTCTAATTTTGCGGACAAAATTCTTAAAAGGTGGAGTGAATGTAAGAACCCGCACCGTTAAATTAGAAATTTAATTAATTTAATTATGAGCTAAGAGATAAATTTCATAATTGACCTTGAATAATTATGAGTGAGCTTAAATAATTATAGTAAGTGATTAATAATGTTGAAAGTCGTTTTTCTGACGAAAAGTGCAGGTACCGGTTCTTCTTCACGGTATAAATGTGTAGCAATGAAGTATCCCGAAAAATAATAAAAAGTATGTATATATTACTAGAGTAATATCTAGGACTAGTATGTCAAGTTTGGAGTCAAAATAATGAGAACTGGTGTCGGAACTAATACCGACAACGAGAAAATGCGTACCGGAAAAGTGTTGCGAAAAAATAAAATAAAAATATGAAAATTTCTAGAAAAATATCTAGGTTAAGAATCTAAAATTTTAGAGTTAAACGAAGAGCGAAACTAATTAAACTAATACAGCTAGTTTAACTGAAGTGACAATATAAATAGAAATGGGATCTAAACCCTAAGCTTTTAAAATACCTCAGTCGTTGCTGATTGTGGCTGTCGTTGGGGTCTTCTTGGAGACTTGGTTTTTTCTCTTGAAAAGCCTCCAAAGTTTTCATTTTTCTCCTCCTCTCCTCCATTGAAACACCACCCAACCATTAAAGCTCTAGTCTTGTTGAAGGAGAAACCATTGTTGAAGGAGTGTTTTCTCAACCTCTAAAGCTCTCATTTTTCTGTTCTCAAAATGATCCAAGGTAAACTTAACTATCCCCTTTGTAAATCCATAAATTGGTTATAACCCTTGTTATGTGTTACTGTTACATTGGCATTTTTGAAATTTCTCTGTGTTTCTTTTCTTCGGTTACATAGCCATTGGTTTTGTCATTTTTGTATGTTTTGCTTTCATCGATTTGCGTGATTTAAAATGAAATTCTGCACCTTTTTCTTGGGTATTCACCAAACCACAAAGGATACAAGTGTCTCAACTCCAATGGGAGGTTATTCATGTCTCGTCAACTGCATCACTTCCTTGTTAATCCTAAGATTCCGCTACAGTTTCAATCAGAACTGAATCGAACTCAAGAAATAGTTAATCCAGTCTACACTGATTGGATCAAACAAGATCAAATGCTTCTTTCGCGGTTACTGTCAACAACTTCTGAAGAAATTCTCAATGAAATTCTAGGACTTCATCATGCTTATGAAGCCTGGGAACAAATTCACAAACTTTTGCGGGACTATATATCTCAACACGCCCCCTCACGCAAGAGCTCTTTGGGCTAGAAGCGTGGAATTGCACATGCCCAATTTTTGGTTTACCTTTTTGTGCTTTTTATTTTAATTCCACTTTAAAGTGGGGGACGGTGAGGCTCTGATACCATGTAAAGAACCTTGAGATACACCACCCCAAAAGCTAGCTCATAGGATGGGAGTGCCCAAGGCTTTATAAACTCCACATCAGTTGCTCATACAACCAATGCGGGACTATATATCTCAACAACATGAAATCAGTCTCTGATAGTCAATGAAGATAATGCATTTTCTACATCCAAGATGGTCCAAGTCGTTATATATATATATATATATATATATATATATATATATATATATATATATATATAGGGACAGGATCCGTTTACAAATTTTTTTGAATTTTTTTACAATTTACATTGTATTTTCCCGGGAGAACATAGTGTAGTTTGTAAAAGTTTGTATTCTCCCGGGAGAATACAAACTTTTACAAACTACACTATGTTCTCCCGGGAGAATACAATGTAAATTGTAAAAAAATTCAAAAAAGTTTGTAAACGGATCATGTCCTTATATATATACATATACACATGTGTGTGTATGTCAAAGTTATATACTTTACCTGACTCCACGTCAAAGTTATACATTGTTAAAGCTTTATATTGTTAAAGTTATATATTATTAACGTTACTGTTCTCGGATTTGTTAAAGCTTTATATTGTTAAAGTTATATATTATTAACGTTACTGTTCTCGGATTATATATATATAATACATATATATATATATATATATTTATATACAATATATATATTCAAATATAATATACATATATTATTGTGGCTATTTATATATATTTATAAGATAATAATCATCTAAAATTAAATAAGTTAAATGGTATGTCTTAGAAAGGATATGTAGGTTCGAAATGAAAAAGAAAATAATATCTGATTGCCTCGAAATTTTAGAATATGTATATTGATACTATGATGGTCATTGAACCAGATTTGTGAGTGCATTGGATTCTATTTGTGGTGTGGACCCTTGTGATACCGAGTTCGAGTCAGAGGGGCATACGGGTACAGGTAAGCTTCTGGTCCTCGAATTTTTCCTCTGTTTGTTCCACCAACCTCCATGGGAGGGCAGTTTATGTGCACGGTATGCTCTGGTGAAAATGATATATATATATATATATATATATATTAATATTTTCTTGAGATATGTGGATATGTCTGTTAATGTAATGTATGGATGTGATGTTAGTACTTGTAAGATCAGGAAGCAACCCTGGTGTGCATGGCATGAGGCAGCATCCCTCATGTTTGGTAGGTAACAGACGTGCATAAACCTTATCATGTTCCCTGGCCAGTCGAATCACATATGCATACATCACATACATGAGATATTATTGTTGTTGAGTTATTGTTGTTGAGATATTAATGTGGAATATGGAGTATTGCTGATTGAATGAATTGTTATAATATGCCCATACATTTTATGTGTTTTGAATTTATTATATACCTGTAAGTGAGCATGGGGCGAAAAAGTTCTTGAGGACCCCTTGTCTTACTGAGGTTTCTTTTTAAAAATCTCACCCCATCTGGGGCACATTTTCAGGTTCAGATAGTTATATGGAGGACCCTAAAGGCAAGAAGCCGGAGATATTTAGTTGATAGTATGCTTGCATATTTACTTTGTTTTATATATATGACTTATGCTGAGACTTGATGCTGTTACATTTTAATCAGACTTGGCTAATTATATTTATGTGAGCAGGGGGATTGTCCCTGCCACTTGAGATATTATTTTCTGTTGAGACTTGAGTTATGTAATAATGTATCAGTACATTGTCATGGCTACTTGATGTAGTACTATGACTTGGTATTTTTATATTATTTGAGGTTATACAGTACATGAGCTGGCATTACATACAGGTTTAGTACTAACGTTTCTTTTTAGCACATTGAGGTTTAATATTGAGATAATTGCACAGGATATATTCATAATTGAATTAATAAGCTTCCGCATTATGTTTTAATTAATTAAGCAGGGTTTAAATTATCATATGTATGTTAATACACCGGGTGCACACGGGGTGTTACAAGCCACACAAAGGCAAATCCCAAACAAGATTTCGATCACAAGTGGAGGCATAATTATTTCATGACATTCAACAAATTCGTTCAAGTGATAATTTGGCAGATTTATTTACCAAGGCATTACCTACTTCAAGTTTTGAGAAGCTTTTATACAAGATCGAGATGCGTAAACTCAGAGATATTAAATAATGTTATCATCAGGGAAAGTCAAATATGTGTTGCACTCTTTTTTCCTTAACCATGGTTTTGTTCCTTTAGGTTTTCCTTATAAGGTTTTTAATGAGGCAGCCTCTAATACATATTTCTTTTCAATAGGATCATTGGACATCCAAGGGAGAGTGTAATAAATAATATTGATTGTTGGTTGTGCATGGCCGTTGAATGTTCTGTAATCACTGAATAAGTAATTGTGGTCATTTATCATTGTAACTGTCTTATGAGCCTATAAATAGAGGCATCAAAGGGCATGATAATATACAACAAGAATATATTTCCCCTGTCTCTCTCTTATCTCCATATTTTCTCCTAATTATCTATATTTATTTTACAACACAATTCATTTTTTCTCCTTTTTTTTCCTTTATTATTTTGTGGTATTTCACTATTGTATTTTTTCCCGTAATATAACAGTTAATGAGCGTATTAGTGTTGGTTAATTAAGTTGAATATTTAGAACTTGTAGACGGTCGAAAATGGAGAATTTCAACATTAGAATTAACCTTAAGTAAAATTATTTTTAAGAAAAATTAAAATATGTATATTATTTTTTATTTTTTATTATTAGACTCAAGTTAAAAACAGTTTAAATTGAATTAGTATAAATAAATAAATTTTACATTATATTCAACGAATAACGTGATAAATTAAATATAATTTGTAAGGCATTAAGGCCAATATAAGTTTAATCGAGATCACAGATTGCAAAAAAAATAAAAATAAAGAAAGAGGAACATAATAATTTTGTGCATGTATAGATTAGAAGCAGAGTCTTCTCTTACAGGCCTCAAATGGCAGGGTGTACAAGCATCCTAATTCTTTAACAATCTCTTCAATCAAATCCCTGCAGATACAATCCTGCAAAGCCAATCCTATTCTTCCAATCTCTCTCTTTTCTCCCCAAGCAACGTCCCTACACACTTCCTCCACACTTTTTATCATGGCTTTGCTACTCCACATCACTGATTGATCTTCGTCCTTCACTTTCTTATGTACCAACTCGCTTGTCATTCTCTCGTAAATATACGTGTTGCTAATTTCTTCTTTTCCTGGTTTTTTCAGTAACTGCTGCTTTTGTTGCTGCATTCGCCCTGTGCATAAAAATGTCATTATCCACATTAATGATATTCACTTTTAAACAATTATTTATGCGAATATAATTTCTCATGTTTCATAAGAAAAAAATTTCTCGCACAAAAAAATAATTAAGATCCACTTATTTTCTTTCTATTTCTTCTTTTTAATATATTTCATTCACTTTTTTGTATGTATATTGTCTCGTACAACATGAGAAATTATATTCCTAGGGAGAAAATATTTTTCATGTTGCAAGTAAATGAGAGAATAAAGAAAAAAAAAAGTGAATCTCTTTATTTCAGTGATGGGTATTAAATTAAATAGGTAATGCATGATATATTAGGCATAAATTTATTAAGAAATGAGATAAACTGTTTTCAATTTATGGATATGCGTGCATTATATCCTTGATATAGGTACATTTTTTTTTTATAATTTCTTTGGAGTATAGGTTTTTAGTGTGGACAAATCTAGATGGAGATTTCTATGGTATGATTAGAAATGACCACAATGATAACTGTTCCGTATAAAACACAAACGTGCGAAGACAGTGTCTTCTTCAAGCCACCACACACATGAATGTTGCTGCAGTAGTGCAGTACCTGCGCAGGCAAGCAACCAAGGCTCATAGTTGTTGAGGAGGGGATGGTGGGTGGGGTACAAAATTAACAAAACCCTGAAAAAGTGGGTTTCTGCATGGCCAGTGCTGGTAAAGCTCCAAAGGTTGGTGTTTTCTTTTTCTTTTTTTTTTCTCTCTCTCTCCCCTCCTTTTTCTTTTCAACATCTTTTGACTGCCTCATGACATGAGGCATAGTCCACAGAGTACAACTTGTGGTCCAAGATCCATCCACCAAAAGTACAATTTATTAGTTTCTTATTGTTTTGGACCAGAACAAAACGGACATTTTGGGCTTCTCTTAAATTTTGGAACAAAATATGGAAAAAATTTATTCATTGTTTATGTCATAACAGATAGCTGTAAATTACTTTGCGTTAAATTGGGTGCAGGATGATTGCACGGGCAAGATGAAATTAATTTGTCTCCCACTATGATGGTCATGATGGTGCGGAGTACAAGGAGTTATGATTTTAAAAATGGAATCCTAAAACTCATTGATAGAGGCAGCATGTGTGCTTTTCGATCAAAAATTATAGTGTCTCCTTTTCACGGGTAAGTAAGTAAGTAACTCCTTCTACATCATCAAAGCTAATTGCAAAATATGCTTCTTTCTGGCTTAGGGATTGTAAGTTTTCTTTCATAAAAATGGCAACTAATCATTTCTCTTGTGGGGAGAAAAAAAAAAAAAGAAAGCTAACTTTCCATTGGTATATGTCACTTATAGATTGATTTTTTCAGTCATTGACTAATTTTTGTTTTTGTCTTCGTGTTATCTTAGTACTAAATCCAAATATAAAAAATGAAGCAATTTTGCTATTAATCACAAAGTATAAAACAAGTTTATTTGTGCTCCATTCTTTCTCTACTTTAGTCATTTCCTACCTAACTCTTGGGAGAAAAGAAGATACTTTTGAAAGTTGATATATTAAGCTCTAAAAGTGTGCAAAAAGAAGAAGGGGGATGAAAGAGATAATGATCCACATAATACAAGGAAAGACAAAAACCTATTTCTTTTCTAAAACAAAAATAATAATGCATAAAACATATTTAAGGAATACGTAAAATTATAACTAGTTTGCTAACAAAATAAAGTTTGAAACTATCGATTTCACTTTGAACAAAGTAAACACTTCATATATTATACATGACCATGCCGAATATGCCATAACCATTAACCATGCAAAACTAGAATTAAGCTACCTATAGGCATGTGTGATAAATATATGAAAAATCAAAATTATAGCGAACTTATTGACCAGAATTTGTAAGCTATTAAAAAAACACCTTTAATACGCCATATTTGACTTAAATTAACATTAAAAAAAATGGTGATGGTGAAGATTGATAGAGAAGAGAAATAGAAAGGGCCTACCAAATGAATGCCGTCCCGAGTGGCAGTTTGGACTGAGTGGCGAACGAGTGAACTCGTCAAGCACAGACACTGGACTCGGCTGCTGCTGCTCGCCGTTAATCACCGAACACTTCACCTCCGAGACCGTTCTCATTTTATCCTCAAAGCCACCGATGCTACGTGATGCCGCCGGCAACGGCGGCGGCGGCGGATCAGCCAACCGCACGGCCTCGATGATCTTCTTCAGCGACTTCAGATCCTCGTCGCACCGCTGCAATGCTCCCAGCAGCCTCTGCCTCTTCTCTGCCACCGATTCCGGCGTCGCTGTAACCGCCTCCAGCCCCATCAGCCTCGCCACCAGCGCCGGCGGATCCCGGGGATTCTCCGCCGCGGTTGCCGGACTCGATCGTCGAATCTCCGCCGGCAACGTCGGGCTCCTCGGCACCTGGCGCGACAATCTCGGATTACGGCCGGCGACACCATCGGCGGTGTTATCCTGTTTAGCGTTTTCCGGTTGCGAAGCGGCGATGGTGGAAGCGGAAGAACCGTGATTCCTAACCTGCTTCTTCCCTGAGAAAAAGGACAAAAGGAAAGAATAATTATATGTAATGAAAATTTTCTGAGTAACGAAACAGATTTTGCGTGGGACCGGGAAAAATGTGAAACGAACCGAAGGTGAGGAATCGGCGAGGGCGGTTGGAGTGGGAGTTGGAGATGAGGTGGAGAATGCCGGACATGCAGCCTACGGTCTTGACGAGATTTTTCTCCGGCGCGGTTTCTCGCCGTGACGACGACAGCGACACGGCGCTGCTTTGTCTCTTCATCACTCTCTCTCTCTCTCCCTCTCCCTCTCTTTCTCTTCTTTTCACTCCCAGTGTTGGACTTAGTGGTGCTGTAAAAGCCAAAGGGTAACGGTCATCACAAGAACAACGTAAGTTAAAGCAAATTGCACGTGGAATGTTAAGTAACATTGTTCGGTTACTTTTTCTCTTTTGATTTTATATACGGGATTAACATTTCACCTTTGAGATGAGATAACTTTATGGGAAATATTACTTTCATTTCGTATAAGATATCTTTTTTTATGTTCTCTCATTTCGATTTTCGTACCTCACTTTTTTTTTTCTTTTTTTTTGTAATGGTGGAATCCATCTATTTTCTCTCTACAACATAAAATAACTATCTTATGTTAAATGAGATTAATAAAACCTTAAGTTTATTTAGTGTAACCCAAAACAACTTCGTTACTAAATTAATACTTGTTATGATAGGAAAGTTAAATTTTTGAAATACTCTTTATTTTTTATTTTCAATCCAAAATAACATATCGTTTTGTGTTTTGTGAGATGTAGGAGACAAGTATTATTTCTTGTTACATGATAAATATTTATATATATATATATGTTCGCTTTTTCTACCGTCAATATAGATAACTTATCTTCATTAAGTCTAAAACGACATCGTTTTGGGATAAAAATTAAGGTATTTTTTTAATTATAATTTATTTCAGGGTTATAATAGTCTCTCTTTTTTTGGTAAACTATAATAGTCTTTTTTATTATAATTGTTTAATTTTTCAACTTAAAATGACGTCATTTTGGAAACGAATGTAGATAACTTATCTACCTTCAATGTAGAAACATTAAAACTATATATAGGCTTAATAGTTCTAATGTCGTATCAGATAAATTTTAGCTCCTACATATATATAAAAGTATGTAGGGCCGTATTAAGAGAAGAGAAATAAAAAAATATAGCCCCACACACTTTTATATGTATGTAAAAGATAAAATTATTTTCTACAACATAAAAAATAGTAATTTCATATATATATATATATATATATATATATATATATATATATGAGAAAAATATTTCTCAAGCTGCTTGAGATATATTTCTGTTCGGTTATCCCAAAACTACGTCGTTTTGTTTATTTATTTCCTTATATGAATTAATTTACCTTTGAATAGCTATGATTCTCTTTTTTTCTCTCTTCCTTTATCACCGTTGATCCATCTTTGTACGGTTATGATTTAGTGGCCAGAAATAAAATTATCTTAAGCAACTTGAGAAATGATACGCCCTATATATATCAGAAAAATATTTCTGCAGTTAATGCAGATAAGTTATCTACGTTTATTTCCAAAACGACGTCGTTTTGGGGTTGAATGATTAAAAATTTATAATTATAAAGACTATAATAACCCTAAAATAAATTAAAATTAAAAAATAACATGATTTTTGTCTCAAAACGACGTCGTATTGGGCTTACTGCATATAACTTATCTGCAATAACTGCAGAAAAAGCGAACCCTGTATATTTATATATAGATAAAATCATTTTTGCAGCCGCTATACGTACAGCAACGACAGGTGTATGGTTACGATAACCCACATTTAATGCTTTCATCCTTTGTATGGTTATGATTCCTCACAATTAATGTTTTCAAATATATATATATATATATATATATATATATATATATATATATGGAGTTTACATTTCTGCAACTGTTGTACGTGCAGCAATCAAATACTTGCTCCATATATATATATATATAGGGAAAAACTATTCTCATGTCACATGAGACAAGTTTTCTCTCTTACACACCCTTCGATAACTGTGTCATCTTTTTCTTTTCTTTTTCTTTATTTTTTCAAGTGGTGGAGCCCACTAATTTGTCTCTATGACATGAGATAATTATCTCCTTTAACATGAGATTAATAAAACTCATATATATATATGTGTTTTATTAATTTCATGTAAAGGAGATAAATTATCTCATGTCATAGAGACAAATTTGTGAGCTTCACCACCTGAAAAATAAAAAGAAAAGAAAAGAAGAAGGTGGCACAGTTATCGAAGGGTGTGTATGAGAAAAAATTATCACATGTAACATAAGAGTAATTTTTCCCTATATATATATATATATATATATATATATATATATATATATATATATATAACGAATCTTTTAATTTCAATGTAAGATTAAAAATTCTTACTCTTTATCTTAATAGTTGATTTCCGTCCATGCAATGAAAATTAATGGCTGAGATAGAGAGGAAGACTTCTTAATTCTACACCAGAGTCAAAAAAATCACTCCTTATATATTTATATTATATTTTTAAAAAATATTGGAATTGTTGGAATGGTAATTTTGAAATGATTATTTATCTCGTTTATTTTTTATTTTATTTTATATTTTTTGTGGTTACTAATTTTGTTTGAATTGTATGTTTTGTGGGGATTATTTTGTTAATTAGTATTAGTAATGAGGAGTGATGGCGAAGGAGTGGTTGAGTGAAATGAGGGAGTGAGGGTTTGTTGCACGGGATATCGATGATTGCCACGCCAAAAGAAGGAAAAAGTTGCAGCGAAGGACTCGCTAAAAGGAAAAGAAAATAATGGGATTGGTGATGGCTTTGGCATCCAAATATGCATGAAACTCATTATGAAAATTGAAGTGAAATAATGGCATTGAAGGCATATATTGATTTCGTATTAATATTTATCTTATTGGCATTGGATGTTGTGATACAGTGTATATATTTCTTGTTACAATTATCATGTTTTGGAAATTATACATTGCATGATGCTTTGATTAGCTAGGGAGTTTAAAACATTTAGATATCTTAATTTATTATTTCAATTCCATGAAATTAATTTGCATAAGGGTATTTGAATAAAATCATATAGGAATAATAATTAGTTGACTTCGATAGTATTTTTTATACTATTAACTTGTTATGAGGTTTGTCAGGCGGGTCCATGGTGAAACTCGTGGTGGGGGCTACTACCAACCGTAACAAGTGGATCCGACATCATGTCTCAACCCAAAACCTTAAGGCATTGGGTTCATGGGTCCTTCCACTTATATACTCTTCACTTAGCCCATTACCAACCAATGTGGGACTCATCACACTTGAATAATCCAACAATCTCCCCCTCAAGTGTGAAACCCACCATTGGTATGCTCCCCTCAACCGAGTACCCCAAGTGCAAAGTACTCGACCCGCCTCCTAGCCAATCACCAGGCTAGCTCGAGCCCAACCCGGCTCTGATACCAATGTCAGGCGGGTCCATGGAGAAACCTGTGGTGGGGGGCTACCACCAACCGTAGCAAATGGATCCGACACCATGTCTCAACCAAAACCTTAAGGCATTGGGTTCATGGGTCCTTCCACTTATATACTCTTCACTTAGCACATTACCAATCAACGTGGGACTCATTACACTTGAATATTCCAACAAGGTTAATGAGTTTTTGAGTTAAGATCTTTTAACCTAATACTTACGCTTCTCTTTATACTATAGCCTAGGATGCACGGACACTGACACGGGACATGACACGACGCGTCGATACATTAATTTTAAAAAATGGCATATTTCAACACGTTGGAACACGTTTTGATATTAAATAATGTTTTTAATATATATAATATAACTTATATTTAATACATATAACAGTGCATAATAAATCATATAACCAATCAAATATTCAAATTTTATAGCATAAATATAAAAAAAAAATTCGTACCTTGTTAATTTTTCATGTCAAATTTCATAACAGAAAAAAATTGATTTATAAATGATTTTTTTATTTTAAGTTAATAAAAAAAAATTAGACTAAAAAAAAAACGTGTCGGAACGTTGACCACGTGTCAAAAAATGTTGAATGCGTGTCAAAAAAACGTGTCGAAGAGTTGACCATGTGTCCCAAAATATTGACCGCCTGTCGGAACGTGTCGGAGCGTGTCGGTGTCTGACACGCATTTTTTAAAAAAAATGTCGTGTCGGGGTATTGCAGACTATAGCTACCTAATTTCTATGCAGTTCAAATGGTAGTTAAAATCTCGATTTAAATCTACGCTTTTACGATTTTTTTTAATCAAAACGATTTCATCAAAATTCCAAACAATTTTACGTTTTTATGATTTTTTTTAATCAAAACGATTTCATCAAAATTTCAAACAATTTTACTTTTTTATGATTTTTTTTACGTTAGAATTTTACGTTTTATAATTTTTTATCCTCTTTCCGATTTTACGTAAAATCCCGATTTTAACTACCATAGTTTAACCCATATAGTTCTCCAATTTTAGAGCGTACAGTGCTTCTAACGGTTAATAACAGTCATTATAATAATAAATGAGACGAAAAAAATGAGCAGGGTGAGAGTATATGTTTATCTTCCTCAATATTATTTTTGGAAAGAATTTAAAGTCTTAATTCCGGAATCCACCCATTAATCGCGAAACAATAAACCCATGGAAAATCTCCTAAAAAAAAGTCATGATAATGGCTGTATTTTAGAAGGAACATTATATAAAAACTCTGCACATTTTTTAGTAGTACAATTATTATATTTTTTTCTTATCTTATTTTATTTCAACTCTTCATAAGAGACGTAGGAACCTCTTCACTACTCGATTTTTCTATCGCATGTATTATGTATGAGAAAAAGATGTGTCATTTTAAGTGCCTGTTTAGATCTTTTTTTTAAGCTAAAAGCTACTTATAAGCATAAGCTAGGCCAAACAGATTTTGAAAAAAGCTCTTTTTTTTTATAATGAAGAAAAAAGCTGAAAACTAAAAGCTCCTAGAGGAGCTTTTTTTTAAGCTCTTCTTTATTTTTCTTGAATTGTGTGCTTTTTTTTTTAAATGAAGAGTGATAAAGATAAAAAGAGATAATTTTCTTGAAATATGTGCTTTTAAGTAATTTTTAAGTTTAAACTTTTATGTAATTTCCAAACAGCTTTTAGCTTCTTTTTTTAAGCTCTTTTTTTAACTTTAACTTATAAGTAGCTCCTAGCTTAAAAATAAGAGGATCCAAACAGGCTCTAAATGACACATCTTATGTTCTTTCACTTTCACAAAGAGGTGGAATTTATACTTTTAAAACTTTTCTCCCTCTCTCTCTTATAATCTATCTCTTTCTCTCACTTAGATTAAATGACACAATT